CCCGAAGGTCGCAGATTGGCCCGCAAAGGTCGCGGACTGCCCAAACGTGGCCACCGAAGCGCCGAAGACCCCCGAAGCACCTGACAGACGGCTGGGCCGAAAGCTGAAGTGTGTATGTGTGTGTGTGTGTGTGTTTGGTTGCGTGTGGGTGCGTGTGTGCTGGTAACAAGACGACTTCTGTGCAACCATCTGCACAAATATCAAGAATTCAATATATCTGCAAACAATGCATCCCCAGGCAACAGGTAAGGAACTGCAATCATGGGGTGAGCACGTCCTTCTGTGCACATGCCTTTGTGCAAAACTCAAGGGTGCCGGGATTAGTCTTTGACTACTGCAACAACTTGAGCTTGTTGTTTGTGAATGGGGGCAACAACATTTGCAACAAAATATGACGTTAAAGGTTGAACCAAAGACCATACCTTAAGCAGAATGAGGAGCTTCCCATGAAATGCCCTTCCGGTGTAAACCCCAGAGGCGAGACAAGCAAATGCTGGCCCTGAGCGGCATGGATGTGCGCTCGCCCTACCTCCAAAGAATATGACCTAGGGCGGCGCTAAATGATATTTAAATGTTGCCAAGTGTCAAACTTTATGTCGTGTCAAGCTGTCAAAATACATGTTGTGCCAAGCACTGCATGCCATTTATTGTGAGGGTGTCTTAACATAGGCGACCCCCAAAATGATGCTTGTTGACTGGGGGTGCGCAAGATCGATTTGGTGCAATCACCCTGTCATGGACCCATATGAAGGGGGTCCAGGAAGACCATGTTCCCTTGAAAGGGACCTGCGGATGGGTTCCATGGCTACGTGGATTAGAGGGTCTTAACTTGCTGGGCTTCAGGGAGGATCTTCCGGGTGGAAGGAATGAAGCTAGGGATTCCTTTAAAGGAAGCCAAATCGGGGATGGTTCTTGTCAGGGTCATTCCATTTCTCATTCCCTGCATGTCGAACCAGCAAGTTAACGACATGGCACACGGACCGTGCAATGCCCCTGCCTTGCGCTGACACCAAGGCCGAGAGAGCATCCTGGACAATGCGACTGGATTGGCTGGCTTTGACTGCTGTCAAGATGCTGCCTGCGTGCCGCGAATGTCTTGACCCCCGACCTCCCCCCCCCAAAAAAGAAAGAAAAAAAGAGATCAAACGTCGTTTTCCTTCACCGGTAACGACTCCAACAAAGACACACACTCACATAGAAGAAACCCTGGACAAGCCCGGTTGCAACCGGCCGAGAAGGGATTTTGCCATTCACGTGCCGTACTTGTTTGCCAAATTTTGCCAAATGCCGAGAAGGGATTTTGCCATTCACGTGCCTTAATTCTTTGCCAAATGCATCAATCTGAAGGAGAGGCATACCACAACCTCTCACTTCCTGAATGGATTAATTAGCCCAGAAAGGAATCAAACTTTTTGTTTACCACTAAAATGGTCCAAGGAGCTCAAAAGCTTTGGACCAGAGAAGCTAAGTTGGACCACTGGGCTCATGGGGCTGTCGCTTCCGACTCCTCTCCCCCCGCCGCAAACGAGGGCGTTGGCCTAGCGTCGGCAGCGAACGGCATTGGGATCCGTGAATGCAGCCGACACACACCAATGGAACCGGGTACCCTCCGACCAGCTAACATGGAAGTGCACAGACCCCTGTAGAAAGACTACTTTCCTCTTAGAAACGGCCTTTTTGCACTTCCATGTTAGTTGGTGGGAGGATACCAAAACTTGCGATCAGTGCCAGAGGCAGGGAATGAAATCAAGTTCGGGTGTTGGGAATGAACAGTTTGGGGATACATTTCTCATTCCCTCCGAATCGACCCAGCAAGAAAGAGGCGTACCCGTCAAGATGCCAAGTCTTTTGCACTTAGGGCCCTTAGGGCCATTCGAGGTGAAACTGCATCATCACCTATGCCATCCCCTCGCGGCAAGCCGTGAAGCGCAGGATGGAAATCCGCCACTGTGAATGAAGGCTTCAACAAGTTCGACTTGGGCAGGCAAGCACCTGCTGATGGGTGAATGCTTGCACAGGGGGGTGACAGGTGTTGGTTGCAAAATCGCTTTCGATTCTTGACTGTAGCCTGATCAGGCTTCCTCCCAAGGCTTCGGCTTCCCACAACTGCATGCTGACCAGCTTCTGACAAGACATTGCCGGAACGCGAATCGTCCCCCCCACCCTACATCTGGCGAGGGACCTTTTGGAAACTCCCAGGTACCGGAGCTTCAGATGCCTTCAGTGGGAGAAAGGGCAAGCCTTCGCACTCCCGCAAGAAGATGCCGTTTCGGTTCTAATCTTGGCTGCTGCACCGACCCCTCTGCCAAAAGTTACTCACGTTTTGTGGCTAAAAATAAGAGAAAACCCTTCAAGCTGTTCTGTTTCAACCAAAGAGTTCTTCAGTCCCAAGCTCCGCTTCCCAAACCACTATGACGCCCATCAATATATGCGGCACGCCCACGCTGCGCACGCACCAGGCACCCTTGGGGCGCCGGCACGCCAAAGTGCCCCGTGCCGGCGGCGCAGCTCAGACTGGCATCCAGGTCTCAGGGCGGTCAGCGATCAGCGAGCGAGGACTCGTTTTTGTGGCGCTTTAAGCAGGGCAAGGTGCGGGCAAGGTACTCGTGTAAGTAGTCAGCCTGAAAAAAGCACACTTGCCATGTTTGCATGTTGAGCAGGCACTTAAAGGTGCAAGGTACTTAGTAAGTGGCTACAAGTCTCCGTTCAGTGGGGCAGAACCAAGCTTACTAACCACTTCCTTTGAGTACTTTGCCCCTTTAAGCATAGACAGACACGCACTCAGCATATGGTCTCGCCAAACCGCCCCTGGCTCAAGCCCAAAAGCAGTGAATTGAGTTGGCCTTTTGAGCCTTTGACTGGTGAACCAACACTTGGAAAGCTCAAGAGAGCCGTGAAGAAACAGGACACACCTTGGCGCTGGCGGCAGCCCCGCGGTTCCTTCCGTCCTATGGTCGTGAAAAACGGTGCTCGTCGGCACTGAGCAAAATGGGGGTGCCTGCTTCTCAAGGCTGACCGACGTCCACTGGGAAAAAATGAAGAACATACTGTGGATGGGCGAAATCCATTTCGCACCCCAAGAAAGCCTGGAATGATGATTCCCTGTAAATACCAGCAAACAATGGTTTGTCATGGTTTCCAAGTGGTGCAGGAATTCGTCCATCCACAGTATGTCCAGTAACAAGTGTCGATTCCCTTTAAGATTCTTTAAAACCAACCGGGGAAAATAGAACATATTCATTTCAGCAAATGGAGTGAGGTTTGCGTGTGTGTGTGTGTGTGTGTGTGTGTGTGTGTGTGTGTGTGTGTGTGTGTGTGTGTGTGTGTGTGTGTGTGTGTGTGTGTGTCTGAGAAGTTGCAAATTCTCATTTTGGCCGTGGCTCAAAAGTAAAGAGCTCGGGCCAACCGCAGGTGATAGTCTTTAAAGTTCCATTTTATGCCTTGGCGCCATTTTGGCACCTGCTTTCACGGCACAGTCTTTGTTTGGTGCCATTTTGCTTGCTGTTTTTGAGCCACAGCCCTTTGGCAGAGGTAGGGAAGGTCGTTTTTGCCCCCCCCCCCTCCCCCGCCGGAACTGCAGCTGCTTGGCCCGCGGGCTTGGCACGGCACCCGCGCGTGCCGGCGGGCAAGGCCTGAGACGGGGCTCAACCCAACGGCCTTTGTGGCCATTGCTCAAAGCGGGCGCCGGAGGTTGTTTTTTGGTCGATTTTGCACGGAAACCGGACACCCCCCCAAGAAAAGGGTGGACAAAAAGTACTGCATGATGTTTGGTAGGTAGTTGATCTTCAGAGAACTTTGCAAAGAAAAAGGAAACCGTGGATGGGCTTCCCTGGGCAGAAGGAAAAGGGATTGAAATGGTCGACAGCCCAAATGTCCAATCAGGGAAGTCGAGAGGAGGCGTTTTGAAGATCATGATAGTCTTCCACAACCTGCCAGCTTCCGTTGGGCCCTGGATCGCCCGAAAGGGTGTGCACTCTCAAGGAAGAAGCTGGTCATGACACAACAGAGTACTGGTAGCTCGACTCAAGTCTTCAGAGCGCACGAAGCTCATTTCCCCCCGCCCCCTGTGCTGCAATGTAGCACACATACCTTCCATTTGCTTAAGCCCCCTGGAAAAATATTAAAACATATATTTCCAGCAGTGATAGGTTCCCTTTAAAACCAACAAGTGAAGATATAAAATTTTCTTTCCCACAGGCTCCTGGGGCTTTCAATGGAAGACCCGCCCCCTCCATTCGACACCCCGGGAATTGGTGGTTGGGACCCGGTCTCAAAACCAGGTTCTTTGAAGGCAACCTTTATCAATCGAATTGAAGCCTCTGGGTAAGCAAATAGATTCCCTTTAAAATCAACAAGTGAAGATATAGAATATTCATTGCAGCAAATGGTTGCTATGCTCTTTCTTTTCAGGGCGCTGTATGCCAACATTGTGATCCGCCTCTCTGCGCGGTTCACTGCTCACCTCTCAGCGGACCGCCTTTTCTGGCTGCGGTCATTGCAGCAGGACGTGGTGGATTCGCAAAAAAGCATGGCAACAACCTACCAACCATTGACTAGCCTGGAATTAGGACCCCAGCAAAAAATATGTTGTTGTTGTTTTTTTTGCCTGGTTAGTGGAAAACAAATCAACCCCAAAACACAACAAATCAACAAGGGGAGCTAATTCTGGGGAAGTTGCTAGTTATAGGGCTTCCCCTGTTCTATACTCGCGGCTCCGGCTTCTTCAATTGCGCATTTGAAAGCCAAGGCAGGGCGCTTCCTTCACCCGCTGCGGGCGCGGAAAAACGCAGGCTTCTGGCAGGGAGGGTACGGTCGAACTCTCGTGCATCTTCTAAGCGGTTCGCAGTCTCTCCCTCCTGAACCAAAACTCTCCAACCTTGGTAATTCCATGTAATTCCCAATGTCAATCCTCTGCAGGTCTTGCTTTCTTGCTTGCTTCCCATGCCATTCGGACAGGCTGCAACCGCACTTGGCATTAGCACGTCCATCACAGTCTGAAATCACGCGGATGTAAATGGTGAAATGTCTGATGCTGAAATCGCTGGGAAGGGTTGACTTGCCATCTCGCAGTTGCGGACCAGGCCCTGAAGCTGCCCAGGGGTGGCCTGGGCCAGCGGCGGAGCTTCTGACCCTATACTGCCAAATGCAACAAACAAGTCATTCTTAGTTATCCCAATTTCACACTGCCAGTGGGATGGTGCACTGGAGAAGCCCAAAGGAACATGGGTGCCGCCACTGAACTATTGGGCGCAAGGCATGCGCAACATACCTCTGCGAAATTTGCTCTTGAAAACTCTCAGTCTGAACTCGCGTTGACTGGTCAGGAGTTCAAGCTGAATTGATACGGGCACTTGTGGTGGCTCAACAACCCGTTGGGCCAATGGTGGCTGCAACAGCGAAAAACCAAGAACCCCCTAAGGAATGGGTGAGCCGGCAAACCGCCTGTGTCGCGAATGATGCAAGCCAAAAAGGCAACACTCATCACAATAAACATAATTACAAGTAGAGGAGGGTTGCAGGATTGAGGCCGCAAACATTGCGCGCAGTTGGTACACAGCCAACCTTGCTTTTCGCGCCGGAGCACCATGTCATTGATGAACCATGCCTTCCGAAAAGCCAATGGAAACTGGCGTTTTCCACCCAGATGACCGGCTGAAAAGCTTAAAACTTGTGGGCTTAGTGGGAACTACCACGAAACCAACTTGAAAACCAAACGCCCAAGGAAACGGACGGCCGGGAACCGAGGAACGCTCCAGTGACAAGCTTCTGGCCTGCCGGCTTCCAAGGGCAAACTGCTCAACACCGAGCAGTCGCAAAGCCCAGTTAGAAGAACAAACGCGGCGTCCATGAAAAAACACACGTTTCTTTAAAAAATAAAAATAACTTTGTCAGTAGCAAAGCGTTGCGCCCCGACATTAGTAAACCAGGCAGATTCATGCAGTGCCGATACTAGCATACCTCCCCCAAAAGTCACCAGCTGGAAATCAACAATTCCCAATCAGGGTATGAATGTTAATGAGCACCCCCCTCAATAGCGGTTGTTTTGCATGACTCTCCAATTTCACCGACTAGAACCTGTGTTTTGAGGATACAATTTTTGGTGGACTTAAAGGGAAGCGAAAAGGAATACCATGATGTACTTCTTTGTGTTTTTCCCCGGGGGGGGGGTCCCCTAACAAAAGTCACGCCGATGTGGATCTCTAGCCCTCCGTCCCCGCCCGGGCGCCAGCGTCAGCGCCCGACGCCAGCATCGCGCCGGCGCCGGCGCTACGCCAGCGGCGCCGATGCGCCGCTGCACGAGCGCGGCGAGCAACGCGAGGCCGCGGGACCAGGGGAGGAGGCAAAGACCTGAAATCCATACTGTGGATGGACGAAATCCATGCAACTCACCACGCAAGAAAGCCTGGAATGATTGGATTCCCCTGTAAATACCAACGAACAATGGTTTCAACCATGGTTTCAACTTGGTGCAGGGTTTCGTCCATCCACAGTATGACGCCATGGGTCCAAATCCAAATCGTACTCCCATTGAACATCCCAATCGCCAAGAAAAATAGACTGATATGGGTGGTGCACCTTCCCCAAAATGGTACCAATGTTTGACTCACAGCCATATGTTACCTCAAAGTGTTCAGTGGTTCTAGACCCCACCCAATGGATGCCACTTGCCACTATCGACACCTGCCGTTTTCCTCTAACTTTTTAAAGGGTGATTTTGTGTTTCGTTACTGACCATACAGGCAAATCAATCCACCCAGCCATGTTCTGAACCATGTTTTGAACCCCAGTTTTAGTCAAAAACCTGACCAAATGCCATGTTTTGGTCAATGTACGGGGCTAAATACTTGGAATGGAGGTTTGGGGTACCATGCCAAATTTACACAGGTTGGTCATTTCTCCGACCCTTGAATTTAACCCAAAGAAGGCTTGAGCCAAGGAGTTCACTGGGATAAAACGTGGTCATCAAACAATGACACCCTGTTGTGCAAACCCGGGTAGATGCCGTGGGCGCTCGAACCTTCGCTGGAACTGTCTTTTTTTGGTGAGGGGGGGAGCAAGCTCTGTATGGTTCTTTTCGGAACATGTGCAAGTCTTTGCGTCACCCTTTTCTCATCAACTGTTGGTGTCCCTTAAGGGGGCTGGGGTCTGGCGGACACCCGTGCCATTACACTGAGACATGAACGATGGCCGGCCTTGGGGATCAATCCATCAATTCCAAAAAGCCTCAGGTAACAATGTAACAAGAAGTATTTAGGATTCACTAAAAGGGCACCTAGTGTTTTCATGTGGTGGTTTCCCCCTAAAACGACACCTATTTTAGGGGTAACACCCGGTTGAGAGATTTGGGCATTCCTCATTTAAAGGTATCCTTCACTCTTCCTTGGAGCCCCCAGTGCCCAGGTTCATAGGAATTTCAAGGAGACTTGCCACCCCTAAGCCACCAGCCAAGAACCAATACGTGGCCACTATGCAAGGGCCATAATCACACAGTATCATCAGGGAGTGAAGGTTTCACGCACAAAATAGTGGGCTCTTCCCTGGGTTGCTCTCCCCCCTGAGCAAAAGGTAGATCATCTGCCCTAATGAAAAAGCAGCCCGTAAAACCCAAAGCCAATATTTTCAGGGGGGCCTTGTTTGGCCTGTATGGTCACACCGTCATCTAGATCCTCCGAGAGGCTAGAACCATTTGGTACCAACTTTTTTCTGTAGTCTATTTTAGTTGGGGAACCCTCCCAACCAAAAAAGGGGAGAGAAAGGGCACCTGGCTCGGGGACCTACTGTGGATGGACGAACTCCTGCACCACTTTGAAACCATGGTAAACCATTGTTTGTTGGTATTTGCAGGGGAATCATCATTCCAGGCTTTCTTTGGTGGTGCGAAATGGATTTCGTCCATCCACAGTAGGGCATGTTCTGGTGGGCCGGGCTGCTGCTTTGGGTTCCCACCGCGTCCCTCGGCTCCAGCGCCCAGCGCCACTGCTCCGCCCGCAGCGTCCCCAGCACGGCGTCCGCGCCCTGGATGCCGTCGACGCGGTGGGAGGTCGCGAGCTCCACGGCCCTGCGCCACCTGCGCGCGTCAAAGGGGATTCGCCGGGTTTTCCAACAGAAGGGGTGCTAACTCAGGGAGTTTGGTCGGTAAAAGGGGTGCAAACTCAGGGAGTTTGGTCAACAAAACAGTAAAACATTGTGGTTTTTGACCATGTTCCATCACAAGTCACGTCCACACCAACACGCGCTGTCTTTTACAATCTTTTCTCATGGTGTGAGTACTCATTCCAGGTTGGTTGACAGGCGAACCAAAGGGGACACCCATTTTGAGAGTTCCCAAGTTTAAGAGAAAGCCAGAACTTTCAGAATGGCAAAGGTCTGAAAGGTGAATTAAGACTGGCAGTATCCGAGTGCAAATGTGGTATCACCACTGAGTCGTCTGGATCCCGTTTGAATAGTCCAAGGTACTTCTGTCAAGCAACACGCGCGGACATTTTCAGGGCCCACCCTCCCAGCACCAGAGGAAAGGTTAGGCCATGAGCAACTGGAATCTTTTCTGAAAGCCAGGCACAACAATTTCTACAGGAATGTAGCAAAAGTCCCGCCCAAAACAAGGATTTCCCGTACAGTTTCTTGCGGCTAGTTTCGTAGAGTCTTGTATGCGGTCGTGTGGTCACCAGATTTAGATAGTGCAAGTGTTGAGTCAAGTGTTGCTTTGTCCATCGAGAGGCCCATGCAGTTTGCAAAAGGGTCTGAACGCTAGCTGCTTGCTCAAGATGTATCGTCTTGATTGTTCAGTTCTGTGCGGCAATGCCACGCAATGTCCCCCTCAAGTGCTTTCTCTACCCGTCAGTGCCCATGCATAGTCTATGGGGGAAGCACATTTTGCTTTGTGGCACAACAACACTGGCACAAAAAGGGCGACACTGAAAACACTGATGATGCAGCCGAGAGGCAATTCTGGTGATGAGAGGGATGCTTCACAGCCGCTGAGAGAGGAGGTGTAGCAGACTTGATTCGGCTCGAGCTTGTTTGCTTGCATTTGGCCCAGCAAGCAGCAAGCATCTTCCCAGAATCCATCCCTGCCACATGCAGTGAGGGCAGCCCCCATGACCACCACGTCCCTCCTGGTCGCTGCAACTCCCGTCAGCTGCCTCGCTTGTCCAAAAACTTAACGAGATCAAATCTCGACCCGACCAGGGCTCGTTTCATTTTTAGACAAGGCCAACACCCATATGTCAAGCTACTTTACTACTTGCGTGAACGGAAACCGGCACGGCTGAAGTGGGTGCTGGACAGGGATCATCAGGAAGGTTGCATCGCTTCTATTTGCTTACGCCCCCTGGAAAAGATTTTTTTAAAAAAAAGGATTCCCTGTACAACCATGCAGGAGTAAATAGAACGAATAATTGCTTCAGCAAATGGAAGTGGACCATACCATACCATTCCACACCATACCATCGCATCAGCCTCCAATTGCTTGTCTCCATATTTGTTTCAGCCAATGGAAGATCGAGTTTCGAGTTTGGGGAGGCTCTTTGTCCGGGCTGCAAGAAGCCCAAGGCAACGCGCCAGCGCACCGACTCGCACACAGAAGTCATAGCAATGGCAGAGCCCCGCTCGCGTGTTAGCCGCGAAAGCGTCAGGGCCTGCTGCCACACTCTGCCTTGGCCACGGCTGAATCCGCCACAAACAAACTTTGCAGCTTGGTGGTGGCTTGGTGATGGCTTGGTGATGGCGTTTGATTGGTTCTTCCTGGTTGCGTATTGCTGTGGTAGGTTGCGAATGGAAACAGGCACAGGTAAAGACAGTCACAGACAGGCAAAGACTGCCACACGGAAACACAGAAAGACACGAACAAAAAACGAACGAACGAACAAACAAACAAACAATCATACAAACGGACAGACTGACAGACAGTGAGACAGACACACAGACACACAGACAAACAACAAGCAAACAAACAAGCAAGCAAGCAAACAAACAAACAAACAACAAGCAAACAAACAGTCACAAGCAAATATATAGTCAAAACACACGCGCTCACACACGCAATCAAACAATCACACAAATGAACAAAGTCATAACAAGCAAACACACAAACAACAAGAAAGCACACACAAAGAGACAGAGACACAGACGGAGGCAAAGATAGACACACACACACAAAACCATACACACAAAGACGCGCACACAATGAGCAACAAAACAGCACAGAGGCACAAACAGAGGCACAAACACGCAAACATCCAGATGCGCAAACGCAGCACCACGCAAACACACACAGACAAAGAGATTCAATTGTTTGCTTCATTTCGTCTGACCAGTAAAACTTGAAGTGTAAATCCTACCCCTGCCGAGGGTTTTCGGGCATTGCAGCCACTTCTGTGCTAGCAAGCGTTCCCAAACGGCGCGATTTTCATTTTGCTTCGCAGGGGGGGCTTCCTCGGTGTCACGGTGGCAAGTCTTTGCTTTGAGCCACTGCGTGTGCACGCAGCCGTCGCCGCTGACCGGGTGAAGAAGTCCGGGGACACGCGCGTCAGCTCCATGGCCTCGGCGAGTGCCGTGCAATGTTGAGCCCAGATCGAAGTAGAACCCGCCTTGTTCTTTGGGGACGGTGTTCCCTCCAAAAGTGGTCTGAATGTCCAATTTTAAGGAGACACCCCCATTTCTGCAAAACCAACCAGGGGTTCTACGATGCGGGGTGCCCATTTCCGCTTGGGGTGGGGGGTTTCCTGAAGTGACGTGGGGGCCCCCCAAAATGCCGGATGCACCATGTTGAAAGGGTGCGGCAAGTACCGCGAGGGCCACGCAAGCATTCAAAAGGCAGACAATCTGCCTGAGGCCGGCAAGCAGAAGCTTTTGCTTCCCAGCTACAATCTGAAAATGCGATTCCAGAAGGGCGCCAGCCGGGCAACCTGCGGCATTTGCATGACAAGCCATCCATTAATCTCTGCAGAGGGTGAGCGGGACTCCTTTCCAACACGAAATCACCCAACCTGACTCCGAACCCTGGCAGCAAATTCGACTTTTTGCCAATGGAAAATCATAGCCAGCAGAAGTGAGGGCAATTGATGCACTTTGGATGGTTGATTCAGATGCCCGCCAGATTTCTAGAGGAAGTTGCGAAGTTCCCCTGTTTGGGGAAAGAAGCATCTTGGGCCGCACCTTTGAGCGGTGTCTTCCTTCCTTTGGTCAAACCGAAGTGGACACCGGCAACCTGCAGGCCTCACACCCTTCCCAGCGTTTTTTCAGCAAATGATTGCCTGAACCAGGTCAAAGCGCTACAATCAACGATGGAAGCTGTGTTCCCACATTTGCCGTGTTCAAAGTCGCCCCCATTCAGTGGTGGGTGAAGGGAACAACAAATTCCATTGTCTGACTTTGATAACCCCCAGTCAAAATAATAAACCCACTCTTGTCCAAACATGTCGTTTTTGGGCACCTTGGGATTCGGGTCAAAAGGCAACTCGCTTCAAGCTTGGGACGCGTTCGTCTCAAAGCCCAAACTAAACTGGTCGGCTTCCTTTTGGTTTCTTTTGAACTAATCCAAAAAGGATTTCCCTGCCTGTATTTCGGCAAAATGGCTGGAACACCAATTTTCCAGGCAGAAATGTGAAGGGGGGCAATTTTTCATGAGGGTAAAAACTGGCTTCGGGTTTTCCCGTTGTTTTCCATTTAAGCCACAAGGCGACCCTAGGCCCTCCCGTCGCCTTGGTGGTGTGCAGGGCTTGGGCCCAGGACAGGCCTTTGGCGCATGCGTCCGTGGCTGTGTTCCAGGACACCACGTCCTTCCGCTGTTTTGAGCCCGGAAAGAAAAAACAGGTAATAGGCCTTCGCATAGGTGTCCTTTTGGGGGAAATAGATGGATTTCCCTGGTGGGTGATTAAACCACCAGGTAAACCAGGGCCATATATTTTTCGAGCAAAACAACCAAAAAGGACGCCTATGGGCCTTCGCCTGTTCTGGCATTGCCTTGTAAATCCTGTTCTTGGGAAACTGGAAATATTGGGCATGTTGCCCAGTTTGGACCCAACAAAAGATGATCAACTGTTGGGTCCGCTAACTATAGGGAAAACCAAAAGGTAAAAGTGTTGTCTTTGGGCAAGCTTTTTTCTGGCTGCGTTTGCCTAGATCCCGCAAGAAAGGGGGACATGGGAAATGTCAAAGGGGCACTGTGGCAACGGAACTATGCAAGTATGCGTTCATTCCCATTTGCGGCCCCGAAGCGTCACAACAAGGAAGTCTTGGGCAGGCTCACACGGTTGTCGGCTGATGCATCAAAACGCTTTGACAACTGAGAACGTGGGCATACGTGGGCAGCCCCTTTACTCCGGGAACACGTCCGCGCTTGGGGGTGGGATCTTGGAATTCTATCCCCACTTGGTAAATGGGTCACATAGTCGTGGCACTACATGGGCTCGTCAGGATTTGCCCTGCTAAATTTGCTCCTGAACAAAAAGCACGTCTCTTGACATACTGTCCATAACTGGTACGCCTTGCACGCAGCATAACTTCTAACAAGACCCCGCTTCTCAGGTAGGTGGGGACGCATCCCTTCACATCTCCTCCAGCCGCAGCACGCCCACGCTTCGGCGCCAACTTCCCGCCGCATTCCCCGCGGCCGCGCGGACGACCGGGGAGGGTGCCAATCCCCGGCTGGGCGCGGCGAAGGCGAGTTGCAAGCCCCGGAGCCACGCCTTTGGACAGCTGGCAGCGCCTCAGACGAGGTCGGCCGTCTAAGCGAACGTACTGTGGATGGACGAAATCCTGCACCACCTCAGAGACCTTGGAAGGATGATTGCTCTGCAAGTACCAACAAGCAATGGTTTCCCATGGTTTTTAAGTGGTGCAGGATTTTGTTCATCCACAGTAGAGGTCGGTGAATGGGAAGAAAAACCATTGATTCAATTCGTGTGAGCTTTGCACAGCTCAAAAAGCAAAGCTGATGGAACCACACGTGAAAGCCAACCCCAACATGCACACGGACTCAAGGGGACTCAATGGCCATGGCTACATACCCCAAGAAACATCCTATGATTTATGGGATGGATATGTTGATGACCACACCCTTTTCTTTACCACAAGAAAATCACTGTTTGGAGAGGGCCCCTTCGACACACCCATCCTCATATCAAACAACAGAATTGTCACCACAATCGTGACACTTGCAGCCAGACTTCCAAAATCACTATGGTCAGGTTGAACAGTAGCCACGTCAGCGCCAATGCATCGCTGTGTTTCTAACATGGGGATGGCCCCTAAGGTTGATCGTTTCCTGTTGGCTTCCCTTCAAAGCGGTTTCAAAACAGCATCCTGACAAGCAGACGCACAAGAGCCTCTCGTTGCCCAACTTCCGCATGGCACTCCCGCAGGCAAGAGGCGAGCAGCACGGCTGATCATAAAGTTGTCCAAATCTAGGCGTCTCAACGCCATCCGCCGGCAAGTCCTGACTTGTGGTCAAGTTGCACTCCCTGGCCCCGGCGAATGAACCAAACGCGGAAAAAATCACTCCGGCCAATGCGTGCAACACTCCGACGAGTAGCAAGAGCAAACCACTTTGCAAAACCTGAAGACTAGTTTAACACAGTGCGAGGAGTAGCCGTTGTATACCTGTTGCTTCCCCTAGTTTCCGTTTGCTCTCACCTGTTTTGATTACCCACTTGCCAGCAGAAAAATGGGAAACGCCGTTACGGCCAGGGCTTGACCATTTTGTGCGTGGAAACCAAACCAAAAGGAGTTAGATGAAATCCACTCGGGCAAACTAGACCAAAGCACAAAATAAGGAATCCTCAAGTAAAGAACCTTTATCATAGAGCTTGCTTCTGGGCTGCTCTTCCGCCTTGAGCAAAAAGTCTATCACCTTCTTGTTCCATGGCAAAGCCTTCCAAAGATCCTTTTGGGGCCTTGGGCTAAAGTCACGCCCTTGAGACAGGCCATGGTTTTATTTCCCGAAGCCGTAAGCTGACCAAACTTGCCCCAACAGCTGAGACAAGGCATCCAAAGCCGTGAGCTCACCAACAAGTTTGCCCAAACAGCTGCCGTTGCCAAATCATGCAAAGGATCTCAAGTGACAGCTGCCATTGATTCGCTTGCACCGCGCTGAAGCTTGCGCCGTCGGGCAGGATCTTCATCTGGTCCATTCGCTCGAACCTCGTGTGAATTTTGTTGGGAGGGAAAGGAAGAAAGGCAGTTCTTCTGGGCATGCCATGCCATTTGCAGGTGACAGTCGGGTGACAGCAAAATAAATGTAAAGATTAGCGTGTTCTTGCTTTATGGCCACGCCATGTCCTTCTCAAGACAAGTAGGTTGGACAAATGGAAACTGGCAACCTGGGAAAAACGGAATGGACAAAGGAAAGGGCCTCGGCAAGGTCATAGGCTGGGCCAGGCAGATCGGCCATGTGGACATGGGTGTTTGAGCGTAGGGTTCCATTTCGGGGCAGACTTAAACCCAGAAATGGTTGATTTCCCCAAAGAAATCCCCTGGGTTTACGCCTGCCTGTGGGTAATCTTAAAAAAAAACACATTTTTTTGACCGGAAGTGTAGCATGGTGCACACCGTGCTTGAGCTTCATCATGCTTCATGAGTTCCCAGAATCTGGAGAAGGCCTCTCGAAGACCAGCTTCCCTTTGCCCCCGCAGGTAAGCAAAGCTCTGTCCAAGGGCCAGGTCAGACACCCTGTGAACCGGCGTGTCATAAGTGATATGGTTGGGTCCTGGGATCCAGCGGAGGTGATACTGTGCCACTTTGAAACCATGGTTGAAACCATAACTCGGTTGCTTTCTGCTCCCCTGCTAAAAGTTTAACTTTTAGTGGTTTAATGGAAAATTTGTAAGTTCAACAAGTTAAAGTCCTAACTTTAACATCCAAGCAAAATGCAGAACGTTTGTTGGCATTTACATGCAAATCATCCTTCCTGGGCTTCTCAGCTGGTGCAGGTGCACCCACCGTGCCCACGACCACATGTTCTCTGAACAGCGCGCTTTGCACTTCTCTGTTGCTTGTTGGGCAGTTCAAATTTCAAAATGGACGCTATGCCAAACCCTGGCCCATTTAAAAACATGGCCCCCTTTTTCCTTGTTCGTAACCCCAGGCTTGGGAGTCCCAAAGGCGGGGCCCCGAGCCCAGCCCAGTGGAGCTCTTCCGCCCGGCGGCAGTCCGGCGGCCTGTCGGCAGCGTGTGGTCCTCTGCAACGCACAGAGCACCGCGTTGCAGCTCCGCGTCCGTTTCGCCTCGAAGGCCGCAGAAGTGAGCTGCAGGGCATGGAGCCACGCGCCGCCTAATTCAGCTCGGGGGATCTGCTTGCGGCGTCAAGAAAAAGGGTTTTGCTTGCTGGTGCTCAGTAGGTAGAGAATGACCCGTGTTGGGAATGAACCGGAAGTGGACTCCCTGCAAGGAAACCACCATTTGTTTTATTTATTTTTAAAGGGGTCATTCCATCATTCCCTGCTGCGCGCCAGCAAGTTCAACAAGGCAAGCGTTTGTTGGCGGAATTCTGGCAAGGAACAACTGCATGGTCCATGTTTGCTAGTACTCTTGCGGTATAATGTTGACCCAGGATTGATAAACCCGTCCCACTATTAGGGGGGTGTTCCCTCCAAAAGTGGTCTGAATCCCCACTAAAAGGGGACACCCCCCAATCAAAATCAACCAGGGGTTCTGCTTAACCCGGGGTTAACATTCAGCGGGACTTTGCCTTTCGCCAAAGGCATCCACCCGTGTGCGCCTTTGCCGCACGCTTCGAGGCTTCGCCGCACATCCGGCGCTTCCCGCCGCGCAGATGTGGCGGCCAGCTGCGCGAGAGCCCCGCGCCACTCGGCCCAAGTCTTGCGCATGGCGCCGGCGCTGAGACGGCTGCGCAGGGTATAAGAGATGCCCGCCTCTGAATGACATGACATGTTTTCTCTTCTTCTTTTTTTTTGGGGGGGGGCAACCGTAGTTTGGTGTGCCTTTGCAGGGAAACGAAAGGAATTTGCCCATCTACTGCCCACTAGAGAGAAATGCACATGAAGCAGCACAAGGAATGCAAAAAGGGCAAGGCCAGGACAGCTCCCACCTGTGTACCCTGATGCTTGCTGACCTTGCCTGATGCAACCCTGGCAAACGATACCAAGCAGCAACACCCTGGCTAGTCTTTCAACATGCTGTACAGCTCAAACCAAAACAGCTTCTAAGAGGTTTGCAACACTTGCGTTTGGCTTTTCTGAGGTTCCCAGCTTTGGAGGTTCGCATCATTTACAGTAGGAGGTTTCCATTGGAGGTTCGCATCATGTCGGCCGCACAGAACCCCCCGGCTTTTGGCTCCACAGCCTCATCAGGCAGCTCTCTACGGCGCGCAGCAGCCGTGGCAGCAGCCGCGAGCCATCGCCCGCGATCTCCGCGGCACGGCTCAGGCTGGCGACGTTGGCGGGGCCAAAGCGCGCCAGGCCCAGAGCGAGGCGCCAGCGCCTGCGCGCGCTTTCGCAAAAAGAGGCGAAGCTTCGAGTAAACTGACCAACCAGCACCCTCCAAGGGTTGTCAATTGGTACCTAAAATGGCTCACACAAGGGCACATCAAGTACAAATGGACCAGCCTTAGAGGGTGCTGGACACTGAACCCCAAAACAACCATGGTCAAATTCCAGTAAATCAGACGTGCAGGGCATCCACCCTTGAGCTTGGCGGAACCCCTCAGAGGAATATAGACCAGACTACCTCAATACAAATAATGACTTAGTATGCACGTGTTCAGTGATAATGATCAATGATGATGATGGTGATGCTGATGCTGATGGTGGTGGTGGTGATGAGGATGAGGATGAGGATGAGGATGAGGATGAGGATGAGGATGAGGATGAGGATGAGGATGAGGATGAGGATGAGGATGATCATGATGATGATGATTATTCCAGTTTGGGCTGTGTGCATGCATTCTTAGCCACATGTCCCACAGAGTCATCTATTCAACATGCCCCGCGAGCCATCATCTGGCCCAGAACGGGCTGAAACCCGTCCCCATTCCCCCAACCCCAACTTGCCACCAAATAGCTGGCAAAAACCGGACCGAGCCTTGCAGCTGCGCAAGCACTGATGACAGAGTTGTAGCCAATCCTGACTTGTCCAAAGGACCTCAAAACAAAAAAGGCCCGTGCTTTTGAGGCCATGACTGAAGCTCCGTGTCCAAAGGACCTCACAAAATCAAAAAAAGGCGCGTGCTTTTAAAACCATGACTGCAAATTCCTGACCAAAACAGCACCAAAACTCGCCGAGCATCTCATCAGTGCTTGCTGCCAGCGCCGGCATCTGGCGGAGCAGCCGCAGGCTCTGAGCCCAACAGGTGCCTGGAATTTGGCTAGGGTTGCCTCGGGAATGGAATGAATTATCTCTCTACAGGACATCTTTCTGAGTCGCAATCGAAACCTGGTACAAAAATGGTGAGCCCAGAACCATGTAGACACTTAGAAAGGCGGCCACCACTATTTCGGGCTGGGACTGCCCCTTACTAACCTTCATCTACCCGGGTTTTGATTGTGGCTCATCTCATGATCAATAAGATTAATAGCTAAGAGTTAGCTAAGATTATATTCATTAACACTACAATTATCAACAGGTAAGAAACCATAGGGAAACCAGATCTTAATTAACTCAAACTTCGGCGCAAAGCGTCTGCCCTCTTGTTGCCCACTTTACACACCCCAAAGGTTGGCTCTCACATGGGGACAAACCAATGTGCTCGAATACGGCCACAAGGCGGCTAACATGAAATTGTGAAAGTGCACGGGAACCATTTCTGGAGGAAGGTCGTCCAAAGGGACTCTGTGCACTTCCATGTTTGGTCGGCTAACGACATCTCACATGCCATTTCTGGGTGTGTCCTTTTTAGCAGACCCCAAAACATGTGGTTGCTCCCAAAGGTTGACTACACCAAGGGCCAGCCATGTCGCCTCATGGAAAGTGTCAAGAGGGCTTGCAGTTCCAGGGGTCGCCAAAAGCGCTGATTTTGTGCCAAGGGAGGCGGGGCCCTGGGGTAGCCATGGACACTCGAAGGCAGCATATGCGGCCCCAACAACCTACCGAAAACGGGTGCAAAATGAACCAGCGGGCTCAAACCCTCCCTTTTTTTCTCTAAATCAAGTTTCCGGTTTTTGGGGTTTGTGCGGGTGGCTTCCCATTTGCCCTCTGGAAGAATCAGTTCTCAATTCCACAATGCAAACCAGCAATTAGGGCCTTTTGTTCGGGGAAAAAGCGCCAGCTTCCAAACTCGAGGGCTCCGTTCTCGGTCATCTGAGCCGACGTTTGTTGGCTCCGCCTCGCTCGCAGGCGGTGATTCTGGCATTCACCTGAAAACGCAACGAAACGACTGCGCTGCAACTCAGCTGTCCAACTGGACACCCAGAGCGGGATCCCAAGCATGCCTGGAGGATCAAACACCCTATGGCACATCAGGGATCGCAACGTCTCACAATCATGTAAAGTTCGGGCTTGAGCCAAAAGAACCATACTAATCCGAGGAACCCCACTGAAATGCACTCATTCCCCACTGGTCAGCCTGGTCCTCGGCAAGAATCCAAAGTTGACATGAGTTCGATCATGGACCAACGGAGCTACTCATTCACGGCATTTCATGCGTTTCCTCGGTGAGGCGCTTGAAGCTACGGCCTCACACTGGCCCTTGGCCAAGGGAGCAGGATGGTTCACGGGCGCCCCGCTCAAATGGATGAAGGTGGGCTGTCCAGCTGAGGTGGTGCTGAGATTCCCGGAGCCTGAGAGAGCGCCTAGGAAGGAGAAGTGACAAAAAGATCCCCAGCCCAGTCCAAAGAAGAAGGGGAGGAAGTCCTGAACAACCAGGATGCAGTTACCAAAGCGCAAGGCCGGCCTTGTCAAAACCAGTACTTCGCTTTTGTTGAAAGTCTGACGTGCAGCCAGCGTGTTTCGCCTTTGTTGGTCCAACACCTGAAGACGAGTTGCCAATTCCGCGCATTAACTACCTCCTCACTTCATGCATCCCTTTTACCACTTCAGGTACCGGCTTTGCGCGCCGTTCCAGCCCCCGCCAGCTCGTGGCACCCAGGCGCCGTCTGCTGCGCATCGTGGCCTAGTGCCCATCTCCAGTGACTGAAATGGCCCAACGCGCTGGTCGCAGCGACTGCGCCGGACGCATCTGGCAAAACGCCCCGCGCGGCTACCTTGGATTGAGACCACGAGCACGGTCAAACGAAGGGGGTCAGGCTTGGAATAACCTGTTGGAACTTTGGGGGATTCTTTCAAGTTGCCCTGTGAGATCCGGGGCAGCCGCCGGAAGATATGAAAACGAGGAAGCGCGCACAAAAACCGGAAGCATGCCAGCAGCAGCCCAACGATGATTCTCGCGTGGATGCCCAGGTCGGTCGCATCTCAAATATGTGTCATAATCTCTAATATGCTGCATGTGCTGCACAAACTCCAAGCCGTAATGAATTAGCCAAATCCAAAAATTGAAAAGAACGCATTAATTACTTTAGAGATGCTTTGGACCTGATGCCGACCAAATAAAATTATATGGCAGGTGTAGGACCCTCCACCCCGCCCCCCATCAAATGCGGGCTCAAGGCACAGCCTGCAAAAGGGCCAGGCAACATTGCCATCCGCTTGCTTCCTGGCAGAGCTCCACGGCAAAACCAGCTCTGGGTGCTTTCTGAGGTCAAACAAATCTGCAAACAAAACTCTCCATTCACATTGGCCCATCCGGTTTCCTCTCATTGCGTTGGTTGTCGCACCCGTTGCGCCCTGGACCTCACTAAAACCCAAAGCCCAAAGCCTATAGACGGTTCACAAGCAAAAAGGACAACCAGGGTCCCCTACAAGAAGACACACTCAAATCTTGTTGTTGTTTTTTTGGGGGGGGGGGATTCAATCGAAAAACGCCAGGAAAACCGCTGCAACCTGTTCGGGGTCCCAAAAAAAAGTCCCCCCCAAACAAAAACAACAAAAAACAACTCCCCCTCCCAAAAAAAAGGGACAGAAACACAAAAGAACATTGGCCCTTGAGCCGGGTCCTCCACCGCCTTCAGCACCGCCCCCAAGCAGATCCGATCCACGCGCACAGATCCACGACCCATGGCGCGCAGCAGCTGCACAGAAATCCTCCCAAGCGCCGGCGTCCCGGGTTTTTCCCCGGGTCTGATGCGTCCTGTTGGGAGAATGGCTGTGGGTCAAAGCCCTGTATTTCTGGTGAACCTTCAAAATAGGTGGTGCATGCCCTAAAATGGAGCGTGGAACACGTCAACACATCACATGAATTCCGCAAATTCCTGCAGGGCGAGCCAGGAGGGGATGCCTTATATTTGGCACCTAGGTCGGGTGGGTGCCATTTGTAGTAGGGATATTTATTTAATGCTCAGGCTTGGTAAAAGCAGAACCCCCTCAACACATCACCTTCTGTTGCAAAAGGTGCCTGTTGCCACAGTCTGTGACTACTGATCATGTGACCGGAAAGAGGGTCCACCTGAGACGATCATCAATTTGCCGGGTGCAACCCTAAATTTGTTCACGACACATTTCTCCAGCCTCCAAAAAAAAGTGCCTTTCTTCCCTTACTCAGATTCACATGGAACCTAAGAAGGGGTCTGCGAGAAGGAGAATCCCTCTACAACGGATGATGTGTTTTAGGGTCTGATTAATGGGGGAAGGTCCCCTTTTAGCGGAACACCACCATTATTAATAGTGTGCTTTTTGATGTTTTGGGTAGAAATAGATGGCCCTGGTGAGCATGATTGTTTCTTCATTTGGGCCATCAATCTTCCTTAACCTCCATTTGCTTAAGAATATTTATTATTTTCCCTTGTTGGTTTACAATGAATTCATCGCTACTGGACATATGTGTTTTTCCTGGGGCCTTAACCAGATGGAAGAAATGGTGGTTTCCCTTTGGCTTCCCTTTAAAGAACCCCTCTGGAACCCTCCAGCATCCTCCCTGACTGCCCCAAACCACCCTTATCGCCTATCTGACAGCTTCCTGACAGCTAAAGGACATAAATTTGGCCATTTGTCATGACCCCACTGTGTCCAGAAAAAAGGGCGTTTTTCATAATTTCTACGGCGAAGCCATAGAAAGGGGACCAAATCCTTGCGCAACCCAGGGTAAGGATTAAGGACTAAATACCTTTGAACAGCCCAAGAAAAGGCAAGCATTTTCTTTTTGTTCAAATGGACGCTGCCACCTTTTGCCAGGTTGCTCTTGGCTGAGCAAAAGGCCGCTCAGCATTTGTAGGTTTAATGTGAACCCCGCTTATTTCCAGCCCTTTTCGGGCGATTCGGGGTCGAAGCGGAAAATGACCAGCTATGTACCGAAACAGATGCCACCTTCCCGAATAAATTGGCCAAGCAGAGTTCAAAAACGATTTCCTATTTTCCACTAAAACGTACTTGTTTTTGCCGAAGAACGTGAGTCCAGTCCGAAACGGAACCCGAGTGCGGACCCCATGACTTTTGCCCCATCCTCCAGCGGCAATCTGCCGCCAGGGTGTAGGAGATGGCCTTCGGACCGGTGAGCCGCGTCAAAATGCCCAGGGGCACTTGCCACATAGAACTCCTCCGGGCCGATGAAAGTCTTCTTGATGGAAAGCCGACCCGCATGGAGATACAACCACTATTATTCAACGTATAAAACCATCAAGCAAGGGTTCATATATATATATATATATACATATATATATATATATACATATATATATATATATGTATATATATGTACGAATGTCGAAACAATGAATATATCTATATGTATCTGCAAATATATAGATATGGGTCCCCCCCAACTCGCATGGATCCACCTCTGTCCCATTTCTGAGCTGAAGTTTGGTCAGAAGGTTAGATGTATATATATATATATATATGTATATGTATATATGTGTACACCCTCATGCCCCTTTTTCCAACACGGACTTTGTCTGAAACAACACAGTTATACGCAGGTCAACCTCGCCCATTTTACAAGGGACATGCAAAGGATGGGAGCGCGACCTCTGGGGAATTGCTTGTATCACCAGGACGCAACAGTTGGCTTTCTGCTCATGTTCATTAGGGAAACGGCGCCACATGGTCACGTCTGAGCCACGCGAACAAGTCAATGGCCCAAGATCAGTCTTTCCGGCGGCCGCCATGCACGCATTCGCCACCGCCCGGTGGTTCTTGGACAAAGGCCGCAGCGGGGCGGCAAGCAAAGCTGCCCGGCGCCAGTAGTTGCGGCAAGCGTGGACTAGTGCACTTTGGGCTACCTGCACATGGTGCCAGATTTGGCCAAGGGGTTCAGGCAAATGGAGGTAAGTGGCATGAAAGTGCTGTTTTTCGTGCAAATGATTTGGCCTTACTTCCCTGAGGGAGCTGTGAGTACAAGGTTGGGTCCCCCACCACAGACCGGAGACTAAAGAGAAAAACCGGGAGTCTGGGTAGGAGGGGGGGCGGCACAATGGAAAATCGAGTTCTTGCCTTTTCCATCAAGCTTACACCAACCCTCCAAGCAAATAAATTTCTGCCTCAAATGATTGGGTGGCCACGTAGGGGTGATTTCTGCTACACGCACAGGATATCCCCAGGTGTCTGTTTGAAAACATAGATGGGTCCAAACTGCGGGCAGCTAAACTTACCCATTTTCTCTGCCACAACCCTTGGTGCCATGTCCTGTAAGCACTCGCCCGGCCTCACTGGCAGGGCCATTTCTGCAGAGGCCGCACGCCCTATGCCACGCAGCCGCGTTCGCGCAAGACTTCACCTGACTGCGCATTTCCCAGAGAAGATCTACCAAAGCCTACCCCAGGCCAAACGAGGCACGCACCCCCATGCCTTACGAGAGAGCACACATCTCATGTTTGCCTGAAGGCCGGCAACTTATTCTAACCTTTTGGAGCTTAACCATTCGACAACTCCCACAAGATCTAGGGGCGGCTTGGATCCTCCAAAGGCAAGCAGCGGCCGTGCTGAGCGAGTAGGTGTCCCGGCGAAGCGCCCAAATCTCGAAGCGCGACATCAGGCACAGCACCTCCAAAAATGCCGCGCCCGATAGAACAAACATGCACGACTGTGGCCGACAGCAACGCCGGCACGACTATGCCAAGCATGGGATTTGCCTGGGCTCAAACCGAGCAGGAGGTTTGCAGTGCTGGTTTAGGGTATGTATGTGTCACCCCAAACCTGTTTACTTCCCCTCAACACGAACCACAAAATAAGCCCCCCCCTCAAACAAAAAAACTGCCTGGTGCCACGCGTTCTGCGAGGCCACGTTCAGGCTGCAGGAGTCGAGGCGTACACTGCTGCTGGCGAAAACGGCCAGCGAGCGCCGTGCCAATTGCCATTGGCCAGATTTCACCTTGCAATGCGTGTGGTTTTAAGGGAAAACAAGAGGAAAACCCAATTTTGGTGGTGAGGGTAGTTGTTTGAAGGAAAGTCTATGGAAACCTCAAGGGGCCATTATGACGACACATACTACGTACCCACGCAGCCTTGCGCAATGGTTGACTCCCCTTTTTCAAGAACCCTCCAACATACCGCTTGAGCATCTCTTTTTTCGAGGTCCTAGGGGGTTGGTTTAAATGAAAGCCAACGCAAAACCACAGTTTGTGGGGTGCCCTAAACAAAGACACACCCAATCTCCACAAAGGATTTTTACTGAGCACGTTTGGGCCTTGGGCCTACTCCTCGGTGATCTGTCGCCGGTTGCAGCCACAGGAGCGCAGAAGGACATCGCATGTTTAAAGGCGTGCCTTTGCCTCATCCTTTTCTGGGCTGCCCTCAGATCCCTCGCTATAAAGTAACTTGTAGTGGGTTAAATGGAAACTGCCACTAAACACTATAAAAGGCTAAGGGGATGGCTGGGAGCCACCAAGTTTTGCTGTGGCCAGTGGTTTAACAGTACGGTTGATTGGATGCCGTTTGCTTCTGTCCTGTTCATTCGTCGCCGATTGAACTGCAACCCTAGCCTTGGTTGAAGTGTCTAGGTACCCCAAGCTGTCATCTTCTGCAAACCGGATTTTTGCTGTTTGCCACCCCATTCGAGGTCCCGTGCTGCCACGCAAGGCTTATCTTCGCAAACATTTGCCTTGTTGCTTTCCCTTGGAAGCACGACTCTTGACAGCTGTCCGACTGTTGAGGGCTAAGCAAAAGAAAAACATTTCCAGACATGAAGAGCCGGGACCCGTTTTGTTCCCAACCACAATTTATAATGGTCCAAGGAACAGGCGATTGTGGGTTGAAACACGCCCCCATGAAGAACCCACAGCATCCCGCGGCCGCCGCAGCCGCGGCCTGCGCAGACAGCACCGCATTGAGCCGCTCGGCGGCGCTCACGCGGAAGGAGGCCAGGCGACGAATCAGGTCCGAAGCCATGGCTCCATGCGCTGAAGCGAACGGGTTTGCGTCAAAGGGAATCCCTGCTTTGACACAACGATTCCCTGTTTTACGGGTTTGTTTTGGTTTCCCTGTAAAACTATCCGCCAAAAGGTGCACCAAAAAAAAGAGGCACAACCAGCTCTAAGCTGGGCTGTGCAAGGCGCGGCTGCAAACATGATCGTAGAATGCCGTAAGAGTTGTACGGGTCTTACGGGTCAGCCGGAAACAAAAAACGAAATGAGTTTGCCTGAGTGGATAGGATTGATGGAAGTATGTTCAAAATGAGTGACCCTCTGTAGCGGAGTGCAAGCCATAATGAATGCAAATGTTAGCCGTTGCATGCCGGAACCACACATGAAACACTAGACCACCATTTATGAAAAGCTCTCTGCCAAGGCGACCAAAGTACCCTCACACTCTGCACCAAACTCTACTTGCTCCATTTAGGCAAAATATGGGAATCGAAGCAAACAGCAAGAATTGCACAAATGCATGCTTCAAACACACACCCAAATATATATATATATATATGTATGTATATATATTTATGTATATATGAATGTGTATATATATACATATACATATACGTGTATATATATATACACACATACACACATATATACACATACATGTATATACATGTGTGAACAAGTACATGTATATATATATATATGCATAAACGCGCCATCTTTGCTCCAGCCGCTTCTGGCCAGCGCTTCTGCGCCCAGCGCCCCCAGCTCCGCCAGCTTCCGCGGCAGCGGCAGCGGCTGTCGCGCCAGGTTGGCGGCCAAAGCGCAGCTGGCGATGTCCAGCTGCGCCATGTCCTGGGGGCTGGGGGCTGGAGGGGGGGAAGGGGCCGAATAAACCTTAATACTATGAATAGGGCCTTACTGAGGCTATTCAGGGCTTAATGAAGGTTTTTTTGGGCTCCCCCCGCCCCCATGAACGTTGACTTTTCGTGGGGTCACTGGGTTTCCCCGAATCAAAAGTCGATCAATTTACCGGTGGTTTGGAATTAAAACTGACTGTGGATATCAAATTCGCAGCACGAAATGCAACCATGGTTGAAACCATAACGTTTGCTAGTATTTACAGGGGGGTCACAATTCCAGGGTTTCAAATGTGGTGCGAGCCCCGAATCCAAAGTTGATCAATATAATGGTGTCCATTGGAACGATCGCCACTTTTTGAGGTTCCAAACAGGGAAATGGAAGAAACCCTGCTCTACTTGGTGAATCTGCAACCCTCCGGCTAACTAGAAGTTAAATATCCCTGACACTCCAACCCTGTTCTCTGTGCATAGTTGCCGAATCGAGCAGTTTTTTGAGGGTATATGTTAAACCTGTTCAGAGAGCATGGTTTGTCGAACCTGGGTTTGTCGGACAGGGGCATGGAGACACTGCATGTGGCATGGGCTCGATTTGTCATCATGAGCATGGTTGACAGCATGGAATTGCATGGCATGATACCTCATGAGAACTGAAAATGCATGAGCAATGCCATGATGCAACAAATCAACTGCCAAGCATGATCAACATGTGTGGAAGCATCATGGATTCAAACATGTTGCATGACCCAGCATTGCCATGGTGAGCTGGGATGCTCTTTGCCAGGCTGAACTGCCTGGGCCTCATGCATGTGCATGTGCACCCATGCTGAAAGAAACATGCCAACCGCTGCTCAGGCAAGAGGATTCATGAACAAATTGCACAAGAAGCTGGCCAAGGATCCGAGCGTGCCCTTTGCATGTCATGTCATGTATGTTGTGCTTCCCACTCATGGTCTCTCATGTCCCCTGGCGCCATCGCAGCTTTTGTTTCCACAAGCGTTGCAGCTCTTTGCTGTGACCTGGGGCGATGGATCATGAGAAGGCACATGCCCAGGGTGTTCCAAGGCATGTTTCAAGGCTTGTTGTTGGGCTGATTGTCAGGCTGATGAAATGAGGTGGCTCCTGAAGGCTGGGTTTCTAAATAGTTGATGTTATTCCTTAGTGGTGATGATGGTCTATCCTGCTGCCAGGATGTGGTCAGCTCTTTCCTGTTGGAGAAGGACCGCATCCAGCAGATCAGGCAGAAGGCGTGGCGCAGTTGGGTTGACCCCTGCATAACATGTAATTGCTATTGTGTGCCAGAAGCTGGAATGGCATTCCATGGTGGGTGATGGCCAGAACACGGAGTCGGTTGCTTGCTTAGTGTGTGTGTGTTGTGCATATGTGGCATAGGTTAGGCTTGCATGCTGTTGGTGTGACTTAGGTTGAGGCCAATTTTGAGTTTCTCGCCCTGTTTTTCGCCACGTTCGCCCCTCTGGGGATTCCGAAATTGAACATCTTCAAGGAGCAACAGCTTGTTTGACATGTGAACTTTCTCAGTTTGTTGTTTGCAAGGAGGTGGTCAACGAGGTGAACTCCACCTACATGCTGGTGACAGGGTCTGACATAAAGAAGAAGCACTTGAAGGACCTCATGTTGGCCTGGCAACACATGATGATGTTTGATGCCCCCTGCAACTTGCGACTTGCAGGATTGGGTCCGCTTGACAGCTGGCCAGCTTCGGATGCTGTGCATGCACATGGTGAGCTTGTACAAAACAGCTCCAACAAAATCCAGGCCTGCCACACATGTGTATGTGTGCAACTCATCATTTGGTTGAACTGGTCAGGAAGGACGCTGTGCAAGCTGTGAAGGACATCATTGCCATGTCGTTGGAGGAAGCTGGTCAGGGCCTCATTCACAAGTCACACATGCAACTCATGTTCATGTTGCCCTCTAGGTGAGAAGGACATTTTGCTGGAGCGGCTGGTCAAGTCAGCCCAGCAGAATCTAAACTGGTCAAAGGTGCTAGGTTGGCAATGTTTGTGTCTCATGGACAGCCCAACTGCAAGCCCTACTGCCAGCCCGGCTGCAAGCCCAACCGCAAGCCCAGTTCGGCTCCAAGTATCCATGCATGTGGCACAACTTGTTGGTGCGACACAACTTGTTGGTGCGACACAACTGCATGGTCAACAAACCTTTGAACTCACTTTGCAGCCTTGCAGGAAGGTCAGCCTTTGTTGTTTCTCACCTTGTGCTGAGGTACTGGCTGCTGCTGATCCTCCTGATCATGATGTGCCAGATGCCATGGCCTTGGTGTGTTGAAACAGTTTGCGCTTGCCATCAAGCATGCAACCTGCGCAAAATGCTTTCAACCTCCTTGCAAGTTTGTCATGCTGAGTCAAAAGAACATGCTGACTGCACTCAATCGGTTTTGACTGCATGGCACCATGACTTGCTTTGACAACATGTGAGTGCATGTGTGCATGTACAGTTTGCAGCTTGGCCAACATGCATGTGCTGAGGTCACGACTGCAGAGCCAAGTGGCGAAGCAGTTCAAGCAGGCACCGCCGGCAGGCAATCAAGGACTGATTGCATATGTCAAAATTAATGCAAACACCTCTTAAAGTGTTTCAGTCATTTTATCAGACAGGACAGGAAGCCCATTGTTCCAAGCCCTTTGGCCCTCAATGATGAGCTGCAAGCTCAGCTAGATGATATGGTGGATAAGATGGCTGCAGATGAAGTTGATGAAGATGCGCTTGAAGCGCAAAAGAAGGCTGATCAATCTGCATGTGTTGCTGTGACATGCACATGTTGTTAGACCACATGGTTGACATGTCATGCATGTAGGTGAAAGCAGCAGCAAAGCAAGCCGCGAAGCGAGCACATGCTGACTTTGAAGGTGTGGATGAGGATTGCCCGCAGAAGAAAAAACCACGTGCCAAAGCAAAAGCAAAAGCAACTGCACATGCAGAGGCTACACAGCTGCAAGCAGCAATGCCGAAAGTGGCAAAGCCGAAAGCAACAAAGCCGAAAGCAGCACCCAAATCAAAAAGCAAGCTGAAGGGTAAACAAGATGATGGGGAGGAGCAAGCAGCTGATCCCAGCAGTGGCTCCCAAGCACGTGCTGCAAGGCCTAGGGCAGAACATGGGATGAGGCGCTGGGTTAAACCTACAATGTACCCACAAAGGTACTCATGGGGGCATGTGTGTGCATGCATGAAGACATGTGGCATGTAGCACTCAGATAGTCAACAACAATGTCCAAGCATGTGAGTACTGAGTTTTGTGCACAGGTGAAACCTGAGCTGGAGGAAGCTGGCATTCCGCTCCCACCTTCAGAGGTGCCGATCCACTTGAGGACCTCGTACACCATCTACCCTGAGTCAGGGTCCAGCATAGGCGTGCTTTTCAAGGTGGATCAGCTTTATGTGAACAGGGTGATGAATTTGCCCCTTGCAGCATCCCGCGCCAGCCCTGGTGTAAACTCAAAGGGTGGTGTGACAATTAGCATCCGCAAATGTGGTGGCTGGAAAGATTCATACAGCCTAGCAGTTGCATTGGCTAACCCACCAACGGGGGCTGAGTGATTGTGACACTCGTGGATGGTTGGCTGGGAGGAGAAAGTCCATGTGTGCTGCAACTCAAGCCATGTCCATCATGTGCACTGGAAGTTTGCAAGCAGTTTGCATGTGGTTGTGAGCATGATCAATTGTCCTCATGTCCAGCAATTTTTGGCTTGATTCATTTTAGCCAGTTGTTTTGCTGGGTGGCTGCTAGCTGTCCATCATGAAGAAAGGTGCTGGCCTGTGGCTCTCTGCCAATGCGGTCACATCATTGCTGTTGTTGGGGCTGCCTCCGGTAATGAGCCTTGTCACAATGTGAGGCTACAGGTCGAGTGTCACACATGTCACATGCTACTGGGACACATATGGTGATTGGAACACTTGCTGTAGGATCCATGCAGCTGACTTCATCAGCCAAATGGGTGATGACATGACCAAGCAGGGGCATCGTGATGCAGCCGAGTGGCAGCGTGTCCGGGCCTTATGACTTACCAAGCAACAAGGTGCACATGTGGTTAAACATGAAGATGGCCACACACAAATCAGAACAATGCGAAACATGTGAAAAGGGGTGTGTGGACACGGGATTCCGGGATGTGTTCTTGTGTGCTGAGTCTCT